GGACATTTGACTCAGCTATTAAGACACTGACTGCAATGCCTGCATTCCTTCTCAAGTGCCTGGATTTGAGTCCTAGCTCCTCTTAGGATATCAAACTTCTGCTAATGTGCATCCTGGGAGGCAGCAGGTGATGACTTAAGACTGGGATCCCTACCACCCAGTGGAGTTCTGTATTCCTGGATTCAACCGGGTACAGGACCTGGCTGTTATAAGCATTTGGGAATCAACCAGCAGATGGAAAATCTCCTTTCTTTCTATCTCTGTCTGCCTTTCAAATAAAATGAAAAAAAAATTAATTTTTAAAAAGAAAACTGAATGGGATGGGAGAGGGAGTGGGAGACGGGATGATTGCGGGTGGGACGGAGGTTATGGGGGGAAAAAGCCACTATAATCCAAAAGTTGTACTTTGGAAATTTACATTTATTAAATAAAAGTTAAAAAAAATAAAAAAGAGAGAAAACTGAAAGCCTGGTGGTCAGGGCACGAAGAGAGACTTTTATGGATACATTTTTTTCCAAAACAATTTAAGAAGGTTGTCATATTGGGCAGTTTTAGAAGGTCCTCCTCAATGTTCCATCTAGATGATAAACACTCAATAACCATTATTTAGCAATCCTGGATTCTTGGCATAGCCCTATGTACTCTCTTGCTCGAATGTTCATGAAAATTTGTGACTTGTGAAAGATTCCTATACTTTCTGCATGAAGAGATATAAAATCTAGGAGGAGACAGAGCAGGGTGGACCTCTAGTCGAACTAAGGCCTTCATAAATACAAACAAGTCCCTCAGGAAAAGGACCTCCTCGCCCAAAATACTTTGAATCTGCTTTCAAGGTTGAAGTCTTTCCTCCTCGTTTAAAAATTATAATAAAAACCCTGTGCCAATAGACTACCCACCCTTAACTGACTGCTTTGCTCAGTGTTTTTCTGACTCCATCAAACAAATGTCCACTTTATGAAAGCCAACTACATTCCCTAAATATCCAGATTTATAGGGAAAAAAAGGGGGCATCTACTTGCTTTACTTAAGAATTCTTTTTAAATATCAAGCTAAGAAACACATGTAGAAGATGGTTCAATATAAAAAATTATAAACAAATTTCAAAAGCACCATCACTGAACACTCAGGTGCTCAGTAATGACTTGCTGGTTGGATGAACATACCTATTGAAAATCAGCAGAGTGAAATGGATAAAGGCGTGGGTTGGGGTCCAGATATCCCCGTGTTTGGATTCTGCTTCTGCCATTCATTGGCTGAGTATGACCTTCAACAAGTGACTTAATCTCTCAAGGCCTCAGTATTACTTGTATAAATAAAATGGAGGGACATTGCCCCTTTGTAGTTGGTCATATTAAATGAAAGATGTTATGTTATGTAAGTAGAAGTAAATAGAGAATCATCATAGTCTATATTTTGTCAGATAATATCATGTATTATTAGCTTCACTTAATTTATGCTCACCTGAAGAGAAGCAAATGTACAACATGAACAAAATTCAAGCGCTATAATATTTCCAAGGCTATAATGTAGGTAAATATATAACTATATGATTAATTTACATATATATGGCACCTAGTAAATGCTTGGTAGATGGTAGTTATTGTGAAAAATAACATAACAACATTTGACTTTCATTTTCATATCCACAAAGAACAATTTTGTCATAATATTCCAAGACATTTTATTGCACAGGTTCAGGAAGGGGTAAAAGGCTTTTTGTAACTGAAATTTATGGCCTTAAAATTATGAGAAAACAATTAACAGGCATATAATTGTGGCAGAGAATCAGCTTACAACTGTTGCTAACATCAATTGCATGTGTGATGATTAATCATTCTGCAGAGTGAATATTGTGATTTAATATCCCCCCCCCCCTTTTGCTCCTAGCACTGCTAGTTTGTTTGATAAAGTTGAGAATTCCCACAAAGGGCCTTATAAACACGTGTTATTAGATTTTAAATCTGATTTGAAAGTGCCTCTCTCCTACTCCCTCTGAGTAAAGTGACCTTTTTAAATGGAGGGAAGTGGGTTTAGATGACAGTCATGATAAATGCGGTCATGTTCACTCAATAAAATAAGGCCCAGTGCATTTGAGGATAAATCAGTGAAATGTACAGCCCCACCTGTCTGTCTCCATCATTCATTTCCACTGTCACTTTCACAGTGGCTGATGGATCACAGTTGCTGTAAAATTAGACAGCCTTTAATCTCATTTCATCCTGATTAGCTTCTTTCCCCTTTCCCTCTAACTCACTGACTGACACGCTAAAAACTCACACTGGGCTGTAGATGGACCCGATTACAAACCTCCTCCACTACCTGCTTGTGAGGTAGGGTCCACCTCTGGCTGGAGACATCTGGAAAGGAGCAGGTAAGCATTCGATGTTACTTAAGAGAGAACCAATCAGCACAGTACCCAGCGCCATTTTAAACACATTGTTTGCTCTTGCTCAGTGCCCTAGTTATTTTGCTTCTCTTCAGGTTTAATCAGAAGTCAAAGCAATTTGGTATTTTACAAAATTTCAGACATTGGTTTAATATAGATTTTTACCCTGATAAACTTGGGAGCATTTTACATGCAAAACAATTTCAGGGAGTTAATTGTGGATATTTGTGGCCTCCCAATTTGCAGTAATAATTCAGAAAAGACACGAATTCAGGAATGAGAAAACCTAAATGCTCAGACAAGAATTATAGCATGCAGGTTTTAGAATGAAAATTAAAATATATAGATAAATGAGAATACCTTCAAGTAGATTTTATATTAAGACTTCAAAGACCTTCTTTTCTCTTATTTTGAAGAGTTCAGTAGTTAGCTTAGTGCAATCATGTCATTTGTTTGCAGAAAGCATAACAATAGGGGTAATCAAATGAGAAAGAAGCTTAAAAATAAATCATGTATTATTTCCTTCACTTAATTTCTGCTTGCCTGAGTGGGAACAAATGAATGGCAAGAACAAAATACAAGTGTAAAATTTTCAGAGCTTGTGCTTTATGATGAAGCTGGACTTGTGGCTAAAGAGAAGAGAATGCAGTTTTTCATTATTTATAAGATTTAGGTGTTGGACTGACCAGAAGTTTAAAATAAATGCCTGAAGTACAGTGTCCACCAGAATAAGCTGATTACATTAATGGCCTATATCCTTGTACTACGTCCCCTGTGACTTGATGCATACAGATGACAGTAAATGCTGTCAAGGCTTTCACTGACCAAAGGACATCCCTGGGAAACTGTAGTAGCACCAGGCTGCTCCCAAAAGTACATGGGGCAGCCTGGTTTTGTGTTTCATATATCGGAACCAACATCATAATCCAAACGATGATGAGTTAATTTTTGAAAATGACCTCTGAAGCACATTCAACCTTAGTCACTCAATGAGCCCAATAAATACTGTTACCCCACAATGAATTCTGAGTCATGAGTCTATAAAGTTAAAAACATTTTCCAAATAAACTGAGGATTGAGGAGCTCAAGGACATTCCTCAGCTCTAAGTCCATCAACCAAAATTGTGAGCCACATAGTCCACTGCATACCCACTTCCTATCTTATCACCAAATCAGGGGTATACATACCAATAGGCATTCCCTGGTGGATGTAAGTTCAAAAGTAATGAATATTCATGGTAAAGATAAATAGTTAACATTAAATAATCAAAACTTCTAAAACCTTGGATCAGAAGCCTAACGTCTCACTTGCTGTTTCAGAAATCATGCTATGGGTCTCAAAGCTGTACCTGTTTTTATTATTTATATATCTTCAACAGCATAAACACTTTGAGAAAAATAAAATAAAAACAAAATGAAATGAGATATATATCAGCCAAAATAAGTCAGGTGTGAGATAGGCGCTCACTCTCTCTGCATTGGCAAAAGAGCACACAGTAAGAGTTGGCTGGGACTCATATTGATTTCCCACTGCACTGGTTTCTTAAGTGCTCTGTTGATCCGTGTCAAGCAATAAGTTCCCTGCCTGAACATGCACATCACCTCCCCATTTGTCCTCACCTAGATTTAAGGTGCCCATATGATGAGCTGAGCAAGGACATCATTTTTCCTACTGGTGTCACTGGGCCTAAACCACTGCATGTGATGTGATAACTAATGCTGCGAACATTTACATTCACCATATGATATTACCACAGCCAACAGTAACCGAGGCAGCACAGAGAGTGTAAGGGGTGTCCTAAGCTGTACCCTGGGACTCCCCAGATGAGATGCCAAGCGCGAATACACAGAGAGAAACTCAGATTCCTTGTATAACGCCCCCACCCCCTCACAGCTGCCACATTTGGGCAGGGAGAAGGGAAAGAGATGAGGAGAAAGGATATTTGTGATGTTCCTGACAGTTTTCATCTTTGTTACAGAAGAGCTCCTAAGCAGATAGATGGAAAATGTGTGATTGTGCTGCTAATGACATTGTACAGGAAATTAAGCGTATACATTTGGTGGAGGCATTAAATCAGCAGGACCTTAATTTAAAAACTTAAAACTGTATGGAAATTCAGCTTGCTCATTGCTGTGGAATAGAAAGCTACCAAGCACCCTGAGTCTGTTTATGGGAAGATTGCCAGCAAACCAAGTCTGGCCAGAGCATCTGAGTGACTCTGAGCAGATTCAGGGTGACTTCTTCCAAGCAGTAGCCTGCAGTTCTGACCGGCAGGGGTGTCAGTCACTGGTTCAGAGTGCCATCCCCATGGGTAGGCAGGTGAGAACTTAGAAATGGAAAGCAGCGTAACAGGCTGTTCCTGACTAATTCGTGGAATAACATCATGTAAAATTCATCAGAAGGGGTTGGGTTTGAAACTACTGGAACACACCACTGAGCCACTGCGTGAGGATGGCTGGGTGGGTGGGGGGCTGCTCTGCTGCCTGTACTGTCTTCTTCCTTCTGACTGAGTCAATTTTTATACTTGCTGGTGAAGCACACAACTAGTGAGCCACGGCCTCCAGTCCTCAGATGGAACATTTCATACATCTTTTTTTGTTTTCTTAATTCCAGTTATGCCATACAACAGTGCCCACCACTGCGTCGTGGAGGTGGAAAACTTCTTGTTCGTGTTGGGCGGAGAGGACCAATGGAATCCAAATGGTAACTGTTGAACAGCTTCGTTGTAGGTGCTTAAGACGTTTGTGTGGACTACAGAGCCTTAGGAGCAGTCCGTGCTATGATTCGTATGGAAAACATCCATTTCTGTGCAGCTGGGACAAATGCAATAGTCAGGAAATTGGGCTGACAGTTGGAGGGTGGGTCAGTGTGAGCTGAGGATGGATGTAGCAGAGCATTCACTCATCGACTCTCTGGGGATTTGGCTTCACAGAGGTGCCCCGACCCTCTCTTTATCCATCCCTTGAGGAATGCCACAAGCACAGGCACCAATTCCCTAGAGGAAGGTAGCCAGCTGCAGCTGTTAAGAATTCTCACCACCTTCTCCACTGCTTTCCTCCCATTTTATCCATAGGCAAACCAGTGGCAATAAATAAGCATCGTCTCCAGTTGCACTGTCTGTAACTTTAGCTGGCATCATTACACATCAGGGGTGACTTGAGGGCCATGCTACTTGTTGTACCTTCTACAAGTGCCTCTTCTATAGGTTAGCCACCACCTTCCCCAATCAAGCCTTTTCATATACCTCTCAAGCCAAATGCAAGGAGAACACTTGTGCCTCACAGGCGATGCAAAATAATCAAGATATTTTTGGAAAGCTTGCACACGAAGGAGGAGTTGCAGTTGTAGCCTTCTGTGTTACAGAGATAATTATGACTGAGAAACCATAAAACAGCTTGCAGGTACACATTTTTACTTTAAAACCCCAGAACATCCAGCCAAAATTACATATATTGCATATATTTTATTGTGAATGCTCTCTTTCAGCATCTGCACCAAGGCAAATTATAGAAAATTGTTACATCTGTTCACTCTAGAAAACCTTAAAGGAAAACAGTCCAAGCCACCCCTCAAGAACATTTAAGAAAGACGGACTTTGTCAAGGCCTGGAGCTTTGTTGTGTCACATCTTCCAGGGCTGGAAAGGAAACAGTCGCTGGACTTTGTGAATAGGAGAAAAATGACATTTAATCTCTCTCCTCTCACTGAGCTTTGTAATGAGTGGTCAGTTCCCAGAAAACTCTGCTGTACATGCCGTCCACTGTGAACTCCTCATTTACTATTCAATTTATCCTTCCGCGGAGTGATTTAAACTGCACACAGTGCACAGTCATTGGGTTTGTCTAAGCAAAGGACCTGCAGAATGTTCTTGACAAAACCACAACAGAAAACTCTGGAAAGTCCTGTCTCAGACCACAGTGTGCTCTCGCCCTGCTTCTTCCCAGGTGGCCTAGGCCTCCATTAAAAGACCAGTGGTGGCACAACTCAGCTCCTCACTATGAAACCACCATTCCTGAGCCTCATGGTAATCAACAACACAGAAAACCTGCTCCTTAGGCTTATGTCAAAAACAAAAAAAAAAAAAAGAAAAAAGAAAAACCTTGTCCCTACTTTTTGTTCAACTCCTAATCAAAAATCCATCTAGGAGAATAGGCACTGGTGGGAAAGGGAGTTTAAAGGATGTATTCCTGCCTCTAGGTCAAGACTGGGGAGACTTTCCTCTGCCAATGGCTGTCTGGATATTTATAACATCATCTGTAGGCCATACAAAGTGATCAACTTAAAAATTAGCCTGCTAGAGACTTATTGAATTTCAAGTCCTATCTTTGGTTGCCTTGGCAGGACCAGATCACACGATCTCATGGGCTTTATATAGCCCATCCCTTCTCTAGACAATCAAGAATTTATCTTTGAACTAATTCAAATTCTTGATCAAATTGTGCCATTGAAGCAGGCTGATTCTGCCTGCACAGAAAACACACAATTGCATTTAGAGTAGGGCTGTCTCACTTTTTTTAAAAATAAATATTTATTTATTTATTTGAATGGCAGAGTTACAGAGAGGCAGTGGCGGAGAGATAAAGAGGTAGTCTACCTGCTGATTCACTCCCCAGATGGCCACAATGGCCAGAGCTGGGCTGATCCAAAGCCAGGAGCCAGGAGCTTCTTCCAGGTCTCCCATGTGGATGCAGGAGCCCAAGGACTTGGGCCATCTTCCACTGCTTTCCCAGGCCATTGCAGAGAGCTGGATAGGAAGTGGAATGGCCAGGAGTTGAACCAGCACCCATATAGGATGCTGGCACTGCAGACCGGGGCTTTAACGCACTGCGCCACAGTACCAGCCTGTCTCTTACCACTCAATGTGCTCCATGTAAGGCATATTTGACAAATTCTTGCCAGACCCAACTGTTGAGGCATTGTGTGCTTTTAAACATTATTACTGGTACTAATCACACAACTGTGTCACTTCTCTCAGTTTTAGCTACTAGGAATCTCTGAGTAAAGTGTTAGTACAACTCTAGTTATACATCTTAGTACTTCTTTGAGTCTCAATATGGACCTGGCAGCCATCTCTCTCTATAGAACATCCCCCTTTATCATTTGGGAAGCTTCCATGTGGAAGGCTGAGTCATTCTGTCCCTGATGTTATTGGCATGTGGAGTCATTTTATATAAATCTGAGCAAAGGCTGATGAATCATTGGCTAGGTTCTCCTAAGAACTTAAGGTTATACCTTGAGGCAAGTAGTCCAGCCTTCTGTGCCCTGTGTCAGTGACACAGTTAGTGCACTAAAGCCTTCCCCCAGGTGAAGGATGAGGCAGGCAGTGAGGTGGCCTGTCCTCCCGAGGAGGCAGCTATGACCATGAACAGCCAGCACACACAGCAGCTAAGAAATGGGTACATTGGTCTAGTGAGGTGATTTGGGCAGGGTATCAAAGAGCATCCACTACAAACTTGCCAACATTTTCCATGTGGCCTCATATTCTGACCATCTGGTCAACCATCACTGACTTCTTTAGGATTAGTGGTAGTGTTTATAGAGTGTATATTATTTGCCAGGAACTTTACTGAGTACTCACCTGCATCACAATCATTATGTGAACCATGTGCTATGATGGCTCTGGTTTTACTAGGAGGAGACTAAGCCTGAAGAGGCTGAGTAATTTGTCAGGACACACAGCTTACAAGAAGCTGAGTTGAATCCAGCATAGGTCTATCTGACATCAGAACCTTAGTCTTTCACTGCTATCCTTCCCTCCATTTGGTTAGATGTTTAACAGAACTCACGTTTTTGCAGCAGATCTTGTGAAGTTAAATCAGGAATTATATGACAGTATGAACTAGCCCCCACTCATTCACCAAGAGCTCCTCATCATTTTCTATTTAGAAAATGATGAAAGGACTCAATCATCTAAAAAATATGGAGTCTTGGCCGGTGCCGCGGCTCACTAGGCTAATCCTCCACGTAGCGGCGCCAGCACACCGGGTTCTAGTTCCGGTCGGGGCACCGGATTCTGTCCCAGTTGCCCCTCTTCCAGGTCAGCTCTCTGCTGTGGCCCTGGAGTGCAGTGGAGGATGGCCCAAGTGCTTGGGCCCTGCACCCCATGGGAGACCAGGAGAAGCACCAGGCTCCTGCCTTCAGATCAGCGCGGTGCGCCGGCCGCAGCGTGCCGGCCGCAGCGGCCATTGGAGGGTGAACCAACGGCAAAAGGAAGACCTTTCTCTCTGTCTCTCTCTCACTGTCCACTCTGCCTGTCAAAAAAAAAAAAAAAAAATATATATATATATATATATATGGGGTCTTCATGTTATAATGCCTCATGCAATTAATACCAAAGCTTATCAAGAATAATAATCCTTGAACAATGTAGAGCACACTTGAATATCATTGGTGGCAGGAGAAAAAAAATGAAATCCATAGGCTCAAATGTTATGTTTGTGACAACTCTAAAGATGAAATCTTTTTTTAAGCTAAAATTTAATTCTCATTAAAATGATGCCTGAGGAGAGTGTAGCTGAATGAAACACAAACTTCTAAACACAAATTTCTAAATTTCACATGCTCATGAAACAGAAACATGTAGTCATGGAACGTAAATGTAATTTTACTTATTGATGATCTTGAAGTCAGAAAATTTACTAGACACTGGAAGTATCACCAGGATATAAATGTTTGTCTTTATACTCAGATGTAAATATTAACTCCCTCAGCTCCCTTCATATCAACAGTGATAGCAATGAATTATGTATCCCCCATAGACATGCATATAGTCTGCCAGGGCTCCAACTTTTGAGAAGTAATGTATCACCTACTGATGACTGGCTCCCCAAACAACTGCTTGTGGTCATTTCCTTCCCACTTCCTTCTCGTTTACCCTGGGCTGAGAACTGCCATCTCTGGCTCCATACTCTGTGTGCAGGTCAACAATGGTGCCTGGTGATGGGGCATCAGAGCAAAAAGAGAAGTAGAGGAAAAGTCAGGAAAAAATGAAAAGAATAAGAAAGAAAGAAAATATTTCAAAGGAAATCCAAAATTCTATCACATACATCCACTACTCCTAAGCTGCTGGTAGAGTCTCACTGTGGTCACCCAAAGAAACAAGATCCCCATTTTTATCTCACCTTCCTCACCCCACCGCTTTCATTTCTTTCAGGGTTTCTTATTCCCTCTGCACCTTTTTTGCCATGTCTACAATACCTGCCTTCTTTTTATCTTCCTAGTCCTCATCCCAGTGCCTCCTAATCTTCCACTCCAGGCCCATTTTTTGTACCAATGACCCTACCTCTGTAAACTCTTTCATCCTCTCCTATCCACATCCTATCAGTCCCTGCTAAGCCTTTTCTCTGAGCCAAAGCCACTATCATTAACAACCAGCAGTGAACTTGCTCGCTTGTACTGCTACTGCTCTGCCTATGAAGGTACTCTCCCCCTTTGCTCAGAGATGGCAGATATCTTTTTTTCCAAATGGAAAATCTACACCACAGTTCAGACAGAAGCATTCTTCTACATGGTAGGTAGCTTCTGCATTCCTATAAACATCATTAATCTTTTGATGCATTAGATAATTAACCTTGGAACTTGACTCCTCAAGGATGATTTTTTTTTTTCTGCAGGAAAATGATAGAAAATTCCACAAAAATTCCCTTACAAACCAACTCTAGAATCTGCCCTTGAGCTAGAACTTCTTTATGTGAAACAAGTCTCCTGGATCATTCTCACTTCCTGGGACTCTTAACTATTCCTTTATACCTCTAGATAAAACTGAACTATCTCCCATTCCGATCATCTGCACCCTTCCACATGATCTCTCACATCAGCAAAATCCCTATAATCCTCAAACTCTCCTCTGAGTGGTTCCTTCAACTTTCCTATTCAAAATATAGCTATCTTCTGAGAGTACTGTTTCCCTGCCAGCCTTCCTAATGAGGCTCACTTTCCCTTTTTCCTCTTCATTGTCATGTGCACACCCTTAAAACTCCAGGAACTTTAAAGGATATCCTCAGGTTATACCACCTGATGCTGCTTTATGGGCACTGTTTTCCTGGCAACACCTCCTCCTTCACTTGACCATACCACTGTTTCACTGCCCATCATCCCTCTCCCCACTGCCCTGCCATGTGCTTCCTTCCCTCTGAGCTTTGACTGTACGGTCCATCACTATAATCAACTTCCTCCATGTTGCCAGATCCTACAGACAATTCTCAGTTGCTCACCCACTTCCTTTTGAAACACTATTTGACATGGTTTTCAATATACCTCACTTTTCGTGCTATCTTGACTCTTCTTTCATTTCCTTATTTTTCTTCTTTTAACACAGGGTTCATTCCAGAACCTATTATCTTCCATTTCCATATCTCTCCATAGATAGTTTCACATAGCTTCATTTTAAAAAATATTTATTTGAAAGGCAGTGTTACAGAGAGGGGGAGAGAAAGAGGGAGAGATCTTCCATCTGCTCATTCACTCCTCAAATGGTTGTAATGGGTGGGGCTGGACTAGACCAAAGCCAAGAGCTAGGAGCTTCTTCCAGGTCTCCCACTTGGGTGGCAGAGGCCCAACAACTTGGGCTATCTTCCTCTGCTTTCCCAGGTCATTAGCGGGGAGCTGCATAAGAAGTGGAGCAGCTGGAACTCAAACCAGCACTCATATAGGATGCTGACATCACAGGAGGTGGCTTAAACTGCTGCTTCATGGTTTTAAAAAGTAACTCTGGACCAGTGATGTGCAAATTTGCGCCTATAGCCTCATTTATCCAGTGGCCTTCCAAAAAACTTTAATCTGAGAGCTTATGTGATTCTCAAAGCTCAAAACAGAGCTCACAGCTTCTCTCCCCAGCCCCCAACCTACTCCTTGGTCTTCCTCACCACAGCAAATTCCATGATCTTCCTTCCAATTGTTCAGCCTACAAACCTGGCAACCATTCATAATGACTTACTTTTTCTTAATACCAATATTCAGTTCCTTGGGAGATGTTTAGCTATACCTGTATAAAATAGTTCAAATATGATGTCTCACCGACTCCACATTCATTCATGCCAGCTACCCCTTGCCTTGACTACTGCAACAGCCTAACAGTTCCTCAGCTGCAGGCAACCTCTCTGCAATCTATTTTTCACATACCATCCAGAGTGATGAATTAGACCGCGTTTATCACTTGCTCAAAACCCTCCAGCAGCTTAGTTTTTCCTAACACAAACTAGAGGCCTGCACCAGTCTTCACTGTGTTCTAGACATTGACTAGATCACCCTGACTTCTGTCCAGTCACTCCAGCTTTCTTGCTGTTTTTAAACTCATTTCCAGTTCAGAGACTTTATATTTCCTGCACCACTGCCTGAGATATTTGTGTGGCTTCCGTAAGCAGCTGACCATCCTGCTTCAACTGGCCTTCCCTCTATCACCCCTGTTTTATTTTCCTTTATATATAATATATTCTCTATTATATATTCATTCATCTAAGGTCTTGTCTTTCTTATATGTCAAAATATTCCCAGCACCTAGAATGCCTTAGACACATTGGGGGTGCCCAGTATACACTATCTGTGCAATTAATTGGGTCACAAGTACACATGTGTTCATACGTGTGATGAAGTTGAACACATACCTCAATGTCCAGTTTCACATACATGAATAACAGTAGACTTTAGGGTTAAGGCATTAGCTGCTTGAGGTGATTATCATACTAGGTGGTACACAGAAAATGGAATATACTCTGCTACTTGCATTTCTCGCTTTGATGTCAATATGATGGAAAATCAGATTCATTTTAATACCTTGAAGGCCTGACTGTGCTTCTTCATCTCAACAGAGGGCAGCTCAGAGGACTCATGCTTCCCATTTCAGCAGATGTACTTGTGGTGTGTTACAGCACCTGTGCTCCCTCCCAAAACACATGCAGAGCCTACATCACTTTTAAATCACAGAACTGATTTCCAAACTGAGACTCACTGCAGCAATTGCTTTTATTTCCATGGAAGACAGAAGATGCCACCACTGCTAGAGTCTTAGATCATTAGGAAAGGCCACAATAATGAGGGAGGCCGTGTATAGATGGAGGAAATCTCCATGCCTTCCTCTCAAATTTCCTAGGAACCTGAAACTTCTCTAAAATAATAGCCCTCGAAAAAGTGTTTCAGAAAGGAAAAGAAAGAAAATGTAAAAAAAAAAAAAAAAAAAAACACACACACACACACAGCTCTGAATGGCTCTAGTCAGAGACATAATACAAGATAGTCTCTGGGACAGATAATTTGTAGAGAGTAATTTGTTTTTAAAACATAAAAGCACAAAATTTTACTTTAACACTGTAGTAAAAACTGGTTTGGTGAAATTACTTATTAATATGATGATTTCATTTTATTCCAACTCATTCCAAAAACAAGCTGAGGAATGAGAAGGGAAAGGGGAAAGACACTGGAGGTGGCCACTTGTTCTTCCCTGATCCATCACTTCTCATGCTGTGCTGGGGACACCCTCAACTTAACTCATCTGTTTATTAACCCTGAGAATGAGAGAGGTCTCATAAAATACTACTAACACGCAAATCGACAAAGGAATCATGGTGTTAAGTGTCTCAAATGTATTTTTACAGGAAAACATAGCACAAATTTTGTCAGCCGATACGATCCTCGATTTAACAGCTGGATTCAACTTCCCCCTATGCAAGAAAGGTAAGCATTTATTCCTACTGTAGGCTGCTTCATTGGAAGGGTGAGTGTTAGATGGTTTCCCATGATAAAGAGTGCTACACAGAGTCAATAAAAGACATGAGGCAAATTTAAAACTTGACCTGACCAATTCGGATTACCTGCCTCGTTAGTTCAATAGAGAAAAGTAATTAAATAAGTCAATTATTTGTCCTAATGTAGAAAAAAAATTGTGCAACTTGTCTCCCTTGACCACACTGATTGGCATTTTGCAAACACAGCTATAATTCCCCTGGCTCCCCTACTCTTCTCAGTGATAATATATTTAAGTCCTGAAATCTAAATATAAAATACCATTTTCACAATGATATGCATTTTGATGCAGAAATTTCAATCTTAATCACACTATTCAACATTAAATTTAAACATTTAATATTTAAATATTTAATATTTAATAGCAAATTTCATCTCTATTCAAATTGTTTATTTTGTGCTCCCCAAATATCTTCCCATAATACATTCAAGAACACATCATTCGTTAGATTTAAAAAAAAAAAGTCTTACAAAGTGTCATCTCACTTTTTACAAAGATGTTTATTTCATCTAAGTCTCCTGCTATCAAGGACAAGATGGCTACCATATTTACACATATTTTGTCTCACCTGGCTGTTACCCGAGCATGGTTCCATGTCTTTATATGCATATGCAAATTCACATGGTAGGTTGTGAGCACTTGGCCTTTTCAAATCTAGACAACCTTTTGAGTAAATTCTCCAAAATGATGATGTAAGCTACAACCTATTTCCTCCTCTCCAGGAAGTTATTTAAGAATTTACTGGCTACATTCTTTCTCTTTCCTATTTCTATACAGTCCCTCACCTTATCATCTCTATTTTTTTAATAATATATACTTTTAAAATATTAGTTTTCATTTCATTTAAAAGGCAGAGAGATACAGATACAGACACATTTTCCATCCACTTCCATTCACTCCATAATTGCCACAACAGCCAGGGCTGGACCAGGCTGAAGCCAGGAGCCCAGAACTCAACCTGAGCATCATCTGCTGTCTCCTAGGGTATATATCAGGAGGAAGCTGAAATTGGAGCAGAGGAGCTCGGGCTTAAACCAGGCCCTAGGATGTAGGCACCCCAAGTGGCATCTTACCCACTGTATACCACTGTATCTCAGTCTTTTAAAATTCAAGTAGAGTACACTGAGATCAAGTTAGATCCTTAATAATAAATTCCAAGTGAAAAGGAAATTTTGCAGCAATACCAATTATTCCAAGTTGTACATTACTTCAGCAAGACAGCACAAGTCTATATTCTAAATAAATTATCTATTTATCTATCTATTTATCTATTTCATATAAATATATGGACACTTCCAGGGGACTAAAAGCTAAACACTGAAAATGGCAAAACACAGCACATCAAGGATCACAGCAGCACCTAGGAATGTCTAGTTGAAAGGTAGCTCAAGAACTAGTTTTAAGTCAACTAACGTCCTGACAAACTTCTCCTTGAGTCACGGTTTCCTGAAATCTTTTTCCTGAGCACCCTATTTTTCCTCATTTGAGGGTTATTTCCTGGTTGCTATCACTGCAGCTGCATCACGCACCCTTTCACCAAAACCATCCAAAAGAGCGTTTAAGAAATAACGATCGATACATGTTTGGAATGTCATCATCTCATCACTGCAGTCCCCTTTGCTGGGGGCTGTACACCATGATAATTAACCTTCATGCCTTCATCTTGGGAGGCATAACTCACGTCGTGGCCAATTATTTCTCGGCAGAGCCCCTAAGGATGGGAAGTATTGCTGCAAAACCTAATTAGTAATTTTTTTAAAGATGTGTATTGTTTACTTGATCGTCTATAATGACTTCCTCTGAGGCACTATGGCCTATCATGGCAGGGTCCTACTTAGACAATTTTTAGCAGCTCATTGACCTGATAAAAAGACCTGCCATGGTCTGTCGGCGCCCGGCAGCCACCGTTGACAGGATGGACTGTTTAACGTTTCTTTCTAAGTCATTATGGTATATCATGTCAGGTCCCTAGTAAAAGAAGGTTTTTTTTAGATTTAGAACAATCAACTCGATAGACCAAATAAAGAGCTCCTTACAGAGCTGAGTGGGAAAAGGCAGATCTCACAAATGCCCAGTCAATCTTCTAGCTCCATCTGTCCTGTGGGTTGGTTGACCCAGGCAGTAATCCTTAACTTCAAATGAAATTTTTCTGTCACTGCCAAGCTCCCATTTAAATAGCAAGTACCATCAGTTACCAGTGCAGATTAATTGGAGATTAAAAATGTAACAAAAGAATTCTAAAATATATGAGGCACTCTTCAGAAGTTTATGGAAACCTTTAATTTTACGTCGTAGAGATGGTGAATCAAGTCAGAAGTCCGTCTCCTACCCTTTCCAATTATGCTGAGAAGTCCATCACCAAACAGAATAAGAGAAACATACTGATGCCATCTCCACAGGAACTCCAGTTGGATGGATTCCTGGGATACTTTACCTAGTCAGATCTCAAAGGAGCACATATGCTGAGAACTGGACCCTCCCTGTTCAGCAGGAAGCTGGCCTCTGGCCTCTAGGCTTACTCAGCCATGGGTCAGTTCATGAACTGCATCCCTGCTAGCTGAATTTCCCGACAGAAATGATCAAACATATAAATTTAAATGTAATGCTGATGAATTGTTTAGGGCTCAGGATTTGATTCTTCCGTAAGGACAAGGTAAAAACAGAAAACCTGGATCATTAGAAATGCTTTGGTAACTTCATTTTTTAAAAATAGTAACAGATAATGGAAGTGCTATGTTATGGAGAGCATACCTCCTAGCCAGTCTAAAAGGTAGGGAAAGCAGTTTGGAGAGGCAAAAACAGCAAAGCCACTGTTTCGCAAAATCAAAGGCCAAAAGCTAATACTATACATCAAAAAGTTTTCTAAATTTGATACTCTTTCAAATACTCCTACAAAAAACAGCAACCACAAAATTTTCAAACAGAGTAATATGATGATGAAGGTCAAAAATTTAAATTGAGACAAAGTCATAATAATTCAAATCTCAAAAACTTGGCCATCCTAAGTGCCAGAAAGCACTTGTAAAGACCTGTAAAATAAACAGGGTACAAAACATATCTGTAGATTCTTTTTTTTTTTTTAACTTAGCAACATTGAGTATTTCTTCTAGCAGTGTGGGGGTATAGGGAAAAGTGAACACTTTGAAATACACATAGTGTAATCTATAAAGCAAACTTAAATGGCCTCCAACTTACTTTTGTATAATCTATATCTATCTATCTATCTATCTATATTATGTATGTATGGCTTAAACCAAATGTGCTGTCCATGTGGTTGAGGCGGAGCAGGGCGCACTCCCAAGAGAGACCTAGAATGGGAAAATTTTAGCCTGGAACATTTAGTTGCTGACAAACCATTGTTAATCCCATGTTTCTGGACTGCATTTCAGGAATACTCACTTTGTACGTGCAAAGGAGTAAGTCAGGAGTCAGAATTCTCACTACTGGGGTGTCTACATAAAAAGGCACTTTTATTCAGGAAATGAAATCTACTGAGTTTTTCCCATTTAGATCCTAACAGTGACACTGTGTGGATAAAGCCAGGAGTACACACAGAACATCACATTAAGGAGCTCTTGGCTGAAAAAGACAGCAAGTTCTGACAGCTGAGTGAGGGTCACAGTTAAAAAGGAGCTGATTAGGAAAAGCAAGACCACTGAAATTTAGGCTACATAAAAGGAGTTCACACAGCCAGAGGGAAATCTTTCTCTTGATTCATTACAATCTACAAGGAGATTTCAAAAGTTCATGGAAACTGGAACTAAAAGATAGGTTTATTTTGGTACAAAAAATTTTGAAATCCATGTATTACTTTCATGATACAAATTTTCTATGAAGCTTTTGAAGACTCCTTGTGAATTCAATTACATTTTTAAAAATTATTTATTTGAAAGGCAGAGTTAGAGAGAGAGAGAGAGAGAGAGAGAGAGAGAGATCTTCCATCCACTGATTCACACCCTTGATGGCAGCAATGGCTGGAGCTGGGACCATCCAAAGCCAGGAGCATCTTCCATGTCTCCCTCGTGGGCGCAGGGTCCCAAGCACTTGGGACATCCTCTGCTGCTTTCCCAGGCACATTAGCCAGGAGCTGGATTGGAAGTGGAGCTGCCAGGACTTGAACTGGCACCCATATAGGATGCCGGCACTACAGGTGGCGGCTTTACCCACCAAGCCATAGTGCCAGCCCCTAAATAAGGTATTTTCATACTCGTCATGACCAGTTAGCATTGTCTCTCCTAGACTCGTGCTTACAGAGTGCCTTGTTACCACCTGACAATCCACAGAGTCCAAATTATTGGAGATGACCCATTAGTGAAATAAGTAAACTTATTTCAGATGTCCAGGACCTGTCATAAGATCACATCAAAGAGGTGCATTGAACTGTCCTTGTGACAGTGGTGCAAAGAAATGTGTTAACTGCAGCAAATTTTCTGTACACGAGTCAATCCTGTCAACAAAATAACTTGAGAAGGTAAAAGCACTTAAGACAGCTTTGGACTGTCATATTCAGTGAGACAGCAGTTGAAATCCGGTTAAAGACAGAAGAAACCAAGGGTCTTTCTGTATCACTTAATGTTTCAACTGTTTTTAAACATAATTTTATGCTCAGATGAGTTTTTGTCCTCATCCCAGAAAATTCCAAATTTTTTAGATCAGAGATCCCTTTAAGGATCTCATTAAAAGTTATGAAACAGCTTCCTCCAAAAAAATGTACATGTGCACAAACACCCAGTAGATGTAACATTTTACTACAATCTCAGAGCTTCCTGAACTCCTTAGAAGACACAGGCCAAAGTTAACAACCTTTATGAAATCTAACTCACATTCTCTTTATTATCCTTTCTAGTTTCTCATTTTCCCCTATTTCCACTATTGTTCACTATCTTTCTGAATTTTCTGTAGCACATATATCTTTCAAAACTCTCAAGAAAATCACACACAAAAAATAAGATATTACTTAAAAATTATCAATGATGACTACCAGGACAAATGCATGATCATTATTAAAAACTGAATACATCACTATCTCTAAAAAAATGCGATATCTACAAGGGTATTTTACGAAGTTCATGAAAACTAGAATTAAAAGATATGTTTTCTTTGGTATAAAGCATTTTAAAATCTATGCCTAGGAAAATATGCATTTTCTAAGAACTTTTAGAAGATGCCTTTCACATGCATGGACTTTCATCTTTTTGCACCAAGAACTATATCTCTTAATTCCATTATACATGAATATTTAGAGTAAGATTATTTTGGGCAATACATTTTCTTTTTTTTTTATTTTTTTATTTTTTGACAGGCAGAGTGGACAGTGAGAGAGAGAGACAGAGAGAAAGGTCTTCCTTTGCCGTTGGTTCACCCTCCAATGGCCGCTGCGGCCGGTGCGCTGCGGCCGGCGCACCGCGCTGATCCGATGGCAGGAGCCAAGAGCCAGGTGCTTTTCCTGGTCTCCCATGGGGTGCAGGGCCCAAGCACCTGGGCCATCCTCCACTGCACTCCCTGGCCACAGCAGAGAGCTGGCCTGGAAGAGGGGCAACCGGGACAGAATCCGGCGCCCCAACCGGGACTAGAACCCGGTGTGCCGGCGCCGCTAGGTGGAGGATTAGCCTAGTGAGCCGCGGCGCCAGCGGGCAATACATTTTCTAAACAAACATTGAAGAATTTAATTGTCAAATATATATATGAAAATATATATAGGAAAATTTTACATGTACATATCTTGATGGCCAATTTATAAAAACTTTTTATTCAGATAATATTAGTTAACAGTTCCTAAGCATGAGCAAAATTTGAAAATGCTGACAAATACTCATATCTATTCACAAATATCCTATGAGTAAGTTTCCTTATGGTCCCCCCATTATTGATGAGCAACCTAAAGCTGAGAGGGGTGAAGTAACATTTAGCAGGCAACACACCTAAAACCACATAGCCAGTCAGTGTGACTGCAGAAATGAAATTATTACTTAAGACACTATGTATTGCCTCCCACATGTTTTGGCATTTCGTAAACCCAACCTGGGAAACCTCCAAGCAAAGTAGACTTGCCTAATAAAAAGCCTGCAGCACTCCTTGTCTTACAACTGACATTGCACAAGAATCTTTGTATCAATTTTTAGAAAGATCATTAACTCACAAAACATAAACTGTGTTCAGTGAGAAGCTAAGCACTTAACAATTCTATTTATTCCATATTAAGCTACATGTTGTCCTTGTGACATACATTATTCCAATAGCACCAATGGAAAAGAAAAAAGCAAAGGGTCAACTAAAGTTTCAACTTAGTCATGCTAATTTCACACTTTTGAGTCCTCCCAGTCTCATTACTGAAAATCCTTACTGCTTCTTCCTTAGGATATTTTTGCGCTTCTTTACTTTCCATTACTTGTACTTAAATTCTAAGTCCTCAACATGTCACTAAATTGTGATCTGCTTCAAAATTGTCTTCCTGTCTTCAATCCTTTCAACACATCTTTTGCCTTTGACGATGTATCAGGATGATAGAGTCAGTAGCTTCTCTCGAAAAAGACTAAAAAATATCCTATGGCCACATAAAAATCAGCCCCCAAAGCCACTTAAATTCTTAAATTAGTTGTATAAGAGAAAAACTTTATATCAAGTTCACAGAAGTTTTTCTATTTGCAGTAGTACTAGGGGCAAAAAAGAAAAAATGATAATTGCAGAAAAATTTTGATGATGTAGTTCTCTTATAAATTGGGAACAATGACCCTTGAAGGACCATAAAGAAAGTGAATGTCAAGATAATTTATTATTGTTACATTATCTACCTCATTTTTCACTTTGTCTTACTGAGCTCTGATATCCTTACAAGGTACCAAACATCCCAAACATTAATGAACACTTTAACCATGTATAAAAAGCAATATTAAAAAAGCTAAAACAAGGAGTTGGTGAGGCTCTCCTGTACAGTTATTTTAATACAAAAATTGAGGATGAGAATGGGCAGTGCATGTGCTTCCTGAATAAGGTGTTAGATGTAGGTGTTATTTTTAAAGGTTTGTAACCCTGTTTGACCCAGGATGTACCTTCTTTCCTCACCTGGGAGATCTTAACCAGTTTCAAAAGGTAACATACTAGAGTGCCCATTCTAGCCCCAGCTACCCTGCTTCTGATTCACCTTCTTGCTAATGCATCCTGGGAGGGAGCAGATGATGGCCCAAGTATTGGATCCCTGCCTCCTTTGTGGGGGTGTGACTTCGACGGAGTTCTCATTCTGCCTTTCAAGTAGATGCAAATAAATAAGCTTTTTGGGGAGGGGAAAGGGAGAGGTTAGTATTTTGCAGTTCCTTCTCTGACTTACCAGGGATGTGGTTCTTATTACAGAAGAGCCAGTTTCTATGCCTGTCGGTTGGACAAACATTTATATGTAATTGGTGGAAGGAATGAAACTGGCTACCTGTCCAGCGTGGAGTGCTATAACTTAGAGACAAACGAATGGCGTTATGTGTCCTCCTTGCCACAGCCCCTGGCAGCTCACGCCGGAGCCGTGCACAATGGGAAGATATACATTTCAGGCAAGTCATTCTTTTGCTTTCTGTTTCCAAGTTCAGTTCCACAGCACTTTTTTGACTTGTATCTGTATGGTTAATTCACAGGGGGTGTACATAACGGAGAATATGTCCCATGGCTATATTGTTATGACCCTGTAATGGATGTCTGGGCTCGGAAACAAGATATGAACACAAAACGTGCAATCCACACTTTGGCTGTAATGAATGACCGCCTGTATGCAATTGGAGGAAACCATTTGAAAGGTCTTTTTTTTTTTTTTTACTTTGTAATCACAATAACATTTGCATCTCATGTTCCTTGCTAAGGGGGTTTCTTGTTAGATAATCATAGTTAACCAAGTAAAAAACATGTTGACCAAATAAAATCTACTCTGTGTAAATTAGCAGTACCCTTGAGCAAGCATTTATTTTGGCTTTTCTGCAGATAGGATTATTTTTAAGTTACCATGCACATTAAAGAAATGAATAATGATGTCTCCAGAAAATAAGAAACGGGAGCATTAATAACTGAAAAGCACAAACAATTTGTTCTAACAATGAACTCAGTGAAGTAAATTATTCCTTACCACCAAAGTTACAGTAGTGATTTTTTTCCCACAAACTTGTTTTTTGCCATAAACAACTTTAGTCATAGTTGCACAAAATAACTATATATTTTTTAAAAAGTGCAGTGGAATTTCATGTCTAAATTTCTAATTATTTCATTTAGGAACTGAATATCAAATCATCTATTATTCTCCAATTCTATTGTTTTAATTAAAAAATTTATAATATTTTTGAAGTCTTATTTAGACTCCTATTTCCCCCATTACATACATGACTGCAACTTTTTGTAGTTTGTGTGCATGCATATAACTTATGTTTTTTGTACCTAACACTGAATTTGACAAGAAAGCAGAAAAACCTTGATATTGAAAATGCTGTTGAGCTGCTTTGAGGTTCTGTTTCCTCATCTGAAAATAAAGAAATCAGTCTAGTTGGTCTCTACAAGCTCCTCCAGTTCTTGACATTCCGTGACCCTTGAAATTGAACTAAACAGAAAACAGGCATCCCAGGTATGGAAGAACAGGCACATCTGTGCATTCACGAAGGTACTTCGAAAAATTCATAGGAAAATGGAATTAAAAGATAAGTTTATTTTGGCATAAAAGAGTCTTGAAATCCATGCACTTTTTTCAACATGTGCATCTTCCATGAACTTTTTGAAGACCCCTCCTATTTTATAATGATATATATACATTTTAAAAACTGAGTTAGGCATAGACTTTTTTTTTTTTTTTTTTTTTTTGACAGGCAGAGTGGATAGTGAGAGAGAGAGACAGAGAGAAAGGTCTTCCTTTTTGCCGTTGGTTCACCCTCCAAAGGCCACCACGGCTGGTGCGCTGTGGCCAGCGCACCGCGCTGATCTGAAGGCAGGAGCCAGGTGCTTCTCCTGGTCTCCCATGGGGTGCAGGGCCCAAGCACTTGGGCCATCCTCCACTGCCTTCCCAGGCCACAGCAGAGAGCTGGCCTGGAAGAGGGGCAACCGGGACAGAATCCGTCGCCCTGACTGGGACTAGAACCTGGTGTGCTGGCGCCGCTAGGTGGAGGATTAGCCTATAGGCATAGACTTTATATTTCTCCTGAATACATGTTTACCCCTAAATTTAATGAAGACCACACAAATGTTATTTTTTGTAGATATTTCCAAGTTCTTATACAGTCAGAAATGTAAGTTCAGCAGTGGATGTCTGCTGCACACCAGTGGAAAGGGATTGTCTTCACTTGTGCACCTCTTCCCTTCTTACTCTTTAGCTCCTTCTCTGGTGTGCCTTCATTTCAACCCATGACCCCTTTACCTCGATACAGTCTATATTAACTTAGTAGCTTTCTATATTAAAATTTGATTTCTTCTCAGTTCTTTTGCACAAGATATTGCCTAAGGGTTGCAGGAACTTTTGACAATTAACATTGCATCTGGACATAAAGAGTCAGGTTGACAACCCAAGTGGGAAATAGCACACCCATGGCAAAATTAGTTTATCACAAGGGGTCATCATGATGAGAAGAGCATGGACTTTGCACCTAAGCCTAGGTTTAAATCCAAGTGATGCACTTACTAGTTAATCAATACACTTAAACCTCATGTCTGTAAATGAAGGATAAGTATCCTTTCCTTGACAGTTTCTATGGTGATTACAATCAATGTATGCATTTATTTGACACAGAGAAGTCATACACCAATGCCTCTAAACTTCAGAGCCTGGGATTTTCCCAAGAGGCCGTTCTAAGTGTATATGCTTCAAAAATCATTATCAGTGATCTTAATGATTAAAAAAAGGAATACATAATACTGTTGCAGTGAGTACCTTACTCTACTGTTCTAACATCTATGAGATTTATTTTATATAGGAAGTTAGTAGTCTGAAGTAATCTGTTTGCCTCTTCAAGAATGAAAAGTATTCTACTTTTTAGTTCATCTTCCCAATTATTTTGGAGAGGCAGGCATGTCCATTAATTTAGTAGATGCACTATAACTGTCAGCTAGTACATATTCATAGCCTACATTGAACTAGAAGAAAAAAAAATTTTGGTCTACACAGTGACCATGAAGTTCCCACTATGAGTTTCCCACTTACTAAATTAAAGGCAGGGTTCCAGTGGAGTACAAGAACCTAACTGTTCTCAGCAACTTAGTTCCTGCCCCAGCCACTAAGAAGGTAGTCATCCCCTACCCGAACCTTGACCTCTGCTAGATGTTGGAAAGCAGTCACATCATCAGAGCTGTTTATAAACACAGACTGTAAGAAAGATAAAAGATGCTGAACAGTGTATTTTCAATTAATTAAAATATTTAAGAAAATCAATATGGTTTAGTCTACAAGAGTCTGAGCTCTGAACCCTTATTGGCCTGGGTTCAAATCTCAGCATATCTACTTACTAGCTTGTAACTTATTCGAGTCATTGGCTGTCTTTGTTGCTCAGTTTCCCTGTTTATAAAATGAAAATAATGGTAGTATTGATCTCAGAGTGATGGATTAAACAAAACTAACATAAGCACTCTATTAAGTTTTCTTTATTATTAGTGTAAACCCTTTAAATAAGGCTTTCATAAACCATTTTAGTAAGATCTACCCCCCCACACACACCCCATATAACTAACCTTTACTAATGAATTCTGGTCAAACATTCTTGCTTTGAATTAATTCAAAACACCCAGAGGTGTGTCTTATTCCCCCTTGGGTCTTTCTGACATGTCACCCAATTAATTTCACTAGCGAATTTAAACATTTGTGTCTTCAAAGACGTCATTATCTACTTCTTGGCTCTAGACATGTTTTCTTAAACTGAGGCGCTGAGAGTTTATTCCTTGGTGTTCCATGTTGCTATATCTCTTAGGATTCTCCCACCTTGATGTCATGCTTGTGGAATGCTATGACCCCAAAGGTGATCAGTGGAATATTCTCCAAACTCCCATTTTGGAAGGTCGAAGTGGGCCTGGCTGTGCAGTGTTGGATGACAGTATTTACCTTGTGGGAGGCTACAGCTGGAGTATGGTACGTGTCTGTATTTACTTCATCCCCCTACTTTTTGTGTTTGTGCTTACTTTTCTAGTGTGTTCCTATCCGATAATATTATACATCTATACACCTATTAAGAGTATCATGCAAGGGTAGCATTTCATCTAGCAGTTAAGACACTGCATAAGTTACCCATGTCCCACATCAGAGCATCTGGGTGCACTGCCTGCCTTCAGCTTCTGATTCCAACTTTGTGCCAATACAGACTGAGAGGCAGCAGTGGGGACTCAAGTAATTGCATTCTTGTACCCACATGGAAGACCTGGATTGAGTTCCTGGCTTTGGCTCACCCCAGCCCCTGCAGGCTAAATTTTAGAAGTGTACTAGAGGGTACAAATCTCTCACTCTCTCCGCCTCTCAAATAATTTTTTTAAAAGAACACATGCTAATATAGAAACAGCAAGTTACTTTAAATAGTGAAATAGAATCAGTATATTTGCCACTGAACTGACTTGCTGATCAGCTGTAAAAAGTTGAGGCAGGCCTCTGGTTTTCTCCTATCCCCGGGTTTGTTTCGTTTTTAATTTTGGCTTTCCAGCTAAAAGCCAAACCAAAGTGCTTTTTACTAATGATCTTCTAAAACTGAATAAGGGAGTCTGAAAAGTTGCTGACAGGTGAAACATGAAATATGGAATTAACTCTTCAATATCCATAAATTCTCTTCAGGTACATAATTTGCCATTTTTTTTTTCACTTTTCTCCATCATGAGAATTTCCAAATGTACATCAAAATAGGGATTATATGTGATCTCACTAATCCATCATCCAGCTTCAATATCCACTGACATTTTTGTCAGTTTCTTCATCTGGAACCCCTTTAAAAACTGTTTTTGAGTGGAGAAATTTGAAGCAAATCCCAAATATTTAATTATTTCATCCTAAATACCTCAGTATTTTTCTTTTAAAACAATCATTCACTTATGTAAACATTATCTGTATCACACCCAGCAAAATTAACAGTAACTCTTTTATATTTAGTCCATATTTAAGTTTCCCCTAGTATTTTTCAAAGTGACATGTTCAAACCAGGATTCAGCAAGTCTCACTGAAATTTGATTATTGCTTCATAAATCCTTTACAGTCTAAAGCATTACCTCTGCCCACTCTTTGTTACATGCCATTGACTTGTTGTCATCTTACAGAATTCCCTACTGACATCCTTGTGGTGGCATTTAAAATAGTCATCAGTCTCCATATTTCCTATAAACTGGAAGTTAGAGATAAGGGCCTAATTAAGTGAATTGAATTAAACCTTTTCCTCCCTTTTGGCAAAAATACCTGAAAAGGTATCTGTGTAGTTCCCATTATAGTCAGTCACCCATACATGTAGATTCCGCATCTGTAGGTTAAACCAAACATGGATTTAAAATTATAAAAAAATTAGGCCTGTACCAAATATGTACAGAATTTTTTCCTTGGCATTCCATAAACAATGAAGTATAACAGTTATTTGCATTGTATTTACATTGCACTAATGTTTTAAATTTTATTTATTTGAAAGGCAGAGAGAGAGGAGAGAGATTCTAACCATTGTAACTCCTCAAATATCCACAATGCTGGAACTGGGCCAAACCAAAGCAATGGGTCTCCCACATGAGTGGCAGGAATCCAATTATTTGAGCCATTACTGCTGCCTCCTATGTCTGCATTAGCAAGAAGATGGAGCCAGGTACCAGAGCCAAGTATTAAATGAAAATATTCCAATATGGGATACAGGTGTCATAACTGGCATCTTAACCACTAATCTAAATGTCTGTCCCATGTTTGTTCTAAAAGCAATTTTAAATTATGCAGGAGGAGGTACACAGGTTTTTCTGACATGTCTCCCAAAATTTACCAGGAGATCCTACATTGTAAGGGTCTTGAGCACCCACAGATTATGGCATCCTGGGGGGAGAGGACCCTGAAACCAACTCCCTGCTTATAGCAAGGAACAACCCTGCATCATATAGGAGTCACACTGGGATCCAGTTGTCCATACTTATAAAATAATGGCTATTTTTATATTTTCTTATTTATCTGCTTTAGTTTTATAAAACTATTTTGGGGTTTTAATGCTATGAGCTGGTTTTATTTCTTTTGTGTCAATCAAGATTCTGACAAAGTTTGGGAGTGCTTTAAAAAGTTATTAGTTAAATGGAGGTGAATATTTATCAATGTGTATAACTAGATATCCATACATGCGTTTGTCTCGTGGTGCAAACTGTTAGCTGGAAGAATACAGATCTTTGCTTCAAGCAGACACCAGAAGCACACTTTATCATTAATATTAGGTTGGTTTGGTTTTTTGTTTGTTGCCTGCTATAAAAGCTTTCTTGGTTTGGAGAAGGAAACATTACTCAGGCACCAGCTCCCAAAGTTGACAAAGGAAGCAAAATTAAAGACATTTTTTATTTCTCACGTTGCCTCTTGAAAATACAAGAATTAACATATAGGTTAGCGAGCCTGCATTTCCAGTTTCCTTTCATCCAATCCCAGCTCTGATTCTCCACAGTAGCAAAGTAAAAATGGAGAACAAGCTATATTCCAACTTACTTCAACTACTTGAAGATTTTAGATGGCTTCTCTTTAAACCAAAATCAGCTGAATAACTTCAGTTTCTGATCCACTGTTTTCAAAGACTTATTGAGCAACTAGGTGGTTCTAGGTATTTATATGACTTATTATAAGTCATTAAAAAAGCTTTTGAAATATTGTCGGTCTCAAAATTTCCCTTGGAGTAGGACAGTTTGAGATCTACTGCTGTCATTTCATATTACTTAGGAGGAGCTAAGAAGGGATCCTCTCCAGTGTGATTGTGATAGGTCGGCTGTGGTAGTTCTCTGAACACCTTTCTCTAAATGCTCCCTGCTCTGCCATTACAGGGGGCCTACAAGTCATCTACAATATGCTACTGTCCAGAGAAAGGAACCTGGACAGAACTTGAAGGAGATGTAGCAGAACCCCTGGCAGGCCCTGCTTGTGCGACAGTTATCCTGCCTGCCTGTGTACCGTACAACAAATAACACTAACAAATCCTGGAATGAACAGTGTCACATTTGAGGAAGCAGTGACAGGTCATGTCACTATCGTCATAGGAACAATGCATTCCCATGGTACAACTGCCAAAACCCACCCTTGGTTTCTGATGATTTACAAGTGACTACAAGAGAGAGACCTGTTCTGAACAGATGCTGTGTGTGTGACTCAGATCCTACCAGATCCTTACTGTGGTGACAGACTTCCATTTCAGACTGGTTTTAACTTGTCCCAGCTTTACAAAAACTCCTCATATGGATGTTAACTTTCCAAAGGACAAAGATAAGATACAGAAGACTGACCCCAGGAAGACCTAAGATCAGTTTTTTGTGCATTGTAGTCTACCTGCATGTGATCTGTGTTGAAGTTTTGGGGATATTGTGTTCATGAATGATTCAAAAATTGGACCCACAAAAATATTCACACTGCATTTCAGAAATTGCCACTTGATTCTGTATTCCTAACCTCTGACTACTTCTCAGACTCCACCTGCAAGACAGTTATTGAAAGTCATTTAAGATTAAAGAGGGGCATTTTTGTTTCTTTACAACTGCATTTCTCATCCCTTCTGATCTTCACAGCACCTGCCAGGATCAGAGAACAGAAAGGCGTTGGCTCTTGAAGCAATTGCTTTCTGCTCCATGGGTTTCAGGCTAGCCACAATCATAATTTCTGTGTCCTCAATTTTATCCAAAAGATTAAAACAAAATACACTATGCCACTAGTCACTTCACAAAGACCTGTGCTTTCTCATTTGTTTCGGCTTCAAGTAGTGAACACATTTTTATTTGGTTCAAAAGGTAGGATTGACAAATTCAGTCATACAGTGTTTTAGAGATCCTGTCGGATAACACATCCGACCCAAACTCAATTCATAATGAAAACTGGGAGATGGCTTTCGGGGATTCAGGGGGAGAAAAGAAGGACTAATTCCTTACTATTACAATACCAGTTCTCTCTGTTCCTAAAACACACAATTCAGAAGAGGCATAGGAGCCAATTATAGCCCCTGAGAGAATGCTGCTGCTTCTCACCTTTGGCTGGCTCTGGACACAACTTACCCTCACTATTCCCTCAACTCATCATAATTGGGCTGATATCAGAGACACCTGAGCTCAGTTAAGCAGCTGATGGCTAGCAGTCCTCAGGAGCATGAGGACTAGAGGGGTGAAGGTCAGGAGGGCATGAGATGGTCTCAGAGTGGCCAATCATCAAAGCCAGCAGGAACATAAATTCGATGTGCAAGCTCTTCTTGAATATCAACTTGTAAGAGTAAATAAAAGCCTAAAATTTTTTAATCACCCAAAGATGCTATCAAATCCCTCAACAACTATGTCATTCAAAACAAGAAGGGAAGCCATGGAATAAGAATGCCTTGGTGATGTCATGTGGAGCGCGTCAGGATGGATGGGTATGCCAGAATCCAATGCATTTCTACAGTAAAGTGCAATCTTCGTTGTTTTGTATTTATTTGTATGTTCAGATCCAAAGGATCCGTTGTAAAAAATATATATAAACAGTCTATCTAGTGCAATCAGCTCCCATTTCTTTTTTCTTGAAAACATGAGTATATAGAAAGTTACAGTACTTCGTAGGAAAATTCCAGCTGACATCACGAAGAGAACAAGATCTGTTTCAGAACCTTTTATTGTCCACTGTCACCGTTTCTTCCAAAAGTCAGTTTATATGACAATATTTGCTTTCCTTAGACTTGTCCTTCGTCTTATTTTTATTTCTACCCAAAATAAATAAAAGCATTTATGAGAACTGTAAGTAAAGCTTTCTGTATTTCAGAAAGACACAAACGCCTAGACAGTGAAAAGTGAATAAATAAATCACAGAGAATGTAAATTTTGTACAGTATTAGAATGTGTATATGAAGCTTGCTTGGAAAGGGAAAACTTTAAATAAAAACTTTATGTACTAATCCCACTGTCTCACATTCCTACTTATGAAGCATACATATAAATCTCTACATTGAATTGTTCGAAGATTTGTAATACGTAAATGCCGAAATCTTTTATTCTGCAGATATGCTTTACAGGTTCACCTTCCTCACAGTATATAAATACAGATGATATGGACAGTGCTAAAATTATGGAATGCTTGTGGGAAAATGTTGAGTTAAAAATTATTAAGTCAGTGGACTCTTGAGTTTTCTACTATAGAAGTGTTATATAACTCATCCAAGACCCAATAACTGAATATTTATAGATGTTATTATAAGCATCAGATGTATTAAGATATGCAAACATTTTCTAATGAATGAGTGAATCTGAAAATTAAATCAATTATCTAAATACATAGTATTTAAATTTATTCTTTAAAAAAATCTGACAAGGAAGTTATGCAAGGCAATTAGAGGGGCTATGGGAGATGTGGGGAATAAAGGCATGGAGCTGAAGGTAGCCATTGGACAGCCTCCAAAAAGCTATGCAGGATCAGTGGCTACTTCTTGAAGCCAGCAAACTAGGGAGAACTTACTCTGATGCTTCTCAGCCAAATCTGTCATTATTGATGAAACTCACAATTAAGGTACTTTTTTTTAGTTCAAGAGACAGAGACCGAAACAGCCAGGAAGAGCTTCCATCCACTGGTTCATTCTCCAAATGCTCCCGACAACTGGTGCTGGGCCAGGTCAAAGCAGAGGCCAGGAACTCAATCCAGGTCTCTCATGTGGGTGGCAGAGACCCAGCCACTTTAGCCATCACTTGCTGCACACTAGTGTGCTCATTTATAGGAAGCTGGACTCATTAGTAGAACTAGGTCTTGAACTCAGCACTCCAATGTAGGACTTGAGGGGGTCTTAGCAACTAGGCCAAACCCCATCCCTGAAAGACCTTTGCAGCCTCACAAATATTTCACAAAAGCAAGTGTAATGTGTTTCTTCTCCCTGTGTTAAAGTACCATACCAAAAAAATATCCCTCTTGAAGATGTCCCCTATTATCATCTTCTCCTGAACCAGTGGTTGAGTTGTTACAAATCTTCCAAATAACTCTACATCCTCCAAACATCCAGTGCTAATAGAATTCCATGAGCAGTTAAGGAAATATGCTTTTTCCTAATCTCAGGGAACCACTTGCTTTAAATCCATAACTAGACTTTATATTTACTGTATTTAGTCAGTTAGAATTTGAAGGAATTTGTGGTAGGAAGTGGAAATATACTGAAGAAGGAAAAAATATTTTGAGAATTTGCCTTACAACTGAGTAAAAGGGTGTAGGGACCAGATTTTTTTTTAAATCAAGTTGTGTCTGATCTTAAAATTTACATGTGTTTTTCCATATATAGCTGAATTTATATTTTCCCAGCTGCTTGACACATCACCTAACAAATGATTATCATTATCAACATGGTAAGCATCAAGTACTTGTTAAACATATTCCAAAGGCATCATAATAAGTGCCAGATTTCTGATCAAACTTGATTGAGAATACAGATGCTGCTCAACTTACAATGAGGTGACATCCTTACAAACCCATCCTGAATTGAAATACATTTTCTGCTGAGTATGTATCATTCTTGTCCCATCAAAGTCAAAAAATTGTGGGTACAAACATTGTAAGTCAGGGATCATCCATAGTTGAAGAAATGTGCACATGGGCTGCTTGCTGAGCCTCTGCCTGTGGTGCCAGCATCCCATATGGGTGCCAATTTGTGTCCAGGCTGCTCCTCTTCCAGTGCATCTCTTTGTTTACGGCCTGGGAAAGCCGTGGAGGATGGCCCAAATGCCTGGGCCCCTGAACCCACATGAGAGAACTGAAAGAAGCACCCTGGCTTTGGATCAGCCCAGCTCTAGCCATTGTGGCCAACTGAGGAGTGAACCAGCAGATGGAAGATCTCTGTATTTCCCTCTCTGTAACTCTACTCAAACAAATAAAATATTTTAAAAATAATAAACATAAAAAGTACAAAAAATTAAACACATGAACAAGTTAAAATAGGATTAGTAAAGGAGACCAAAACCAACTAATACACATTGATCAGTATATCTTGAAAAAGTGGGTTTCCACAGAAGAGACAGATCATAACCAGTCAAGCCTGATTTCCTAAAAGCCCTTGACTTGGGAATATCTAAACAGTGGAAAATAAAACAGAATGAGATGAAGCAAAAAGATCACTAGAAGATGGAAATATCTAAATTCATGGTATGTTTGTTTACTAGAGGTAGCTATGTAGTGTTGCTCTGGATAGCACAATAAATATGCCCCAAGTTGGGTGAGATTTCTTAATGAAGATTCTCTTGGTTGTTTTCAATTGCTGCTAACAGAATGCCAGAGACTGGGTAATTTATAATGAAAACAATTTACTGGATCACAATTTTGGAGACTGAGAAGGCCGATATCAAGGTGCCAGCTTCCAGCAAGGTCCTTCTTGTTGTGACTCCTCTTGGTGGACGGTGAAGCTTGCCATTTTATAAGAGCACCAGTCCCACCCACGAGGATGGAGTTCTTGTGCCCCAATCACCTCTTCAACTTTCTACCTGTTAACACTGTTACAATGATAATTACATTTTAATGTGAATTTTGGAGGGGGCAAACATTCAAAACAAAGCAGAGGTATTCTACATGACTCATCAGGTTTGGTGCAATAACAAAAAGCTCAGTCCTAGAAAAGAACACGAAATATGTGCTTCAAGTGTGGGGAGCAACTCGGACTAGACTAAGTTACTGGAATTAAGACTTATTCTATGCATCTGCTCTCCCACAATATGGCGCTGAGAAGGGAGAAACAGCTTCTACACAGCTGCCTCCAATTCAACCAATAAACTGTAGGACCTACTCCTGATTGGAGGAGAGCAGCGTACTCGGCGTGTGGGTAGCAGGGTTGGGATTGGTGGAAGAGGACTATAAAGGAGGAGAGAGACAACATGCACAAGGAACATCTATCTGAAGGAACACCTGTGCAGCCCCCGAGAGAGCCCGCCGGTAGTGTGCCGCTCCCCCGCGGAAGTGGGGAAAGTGGCAGGGGGAACCGCCCTTCCACGGAGGTGGAAGGGACGGTAGCCAACCCAGGAAGAACCAGCAGCAAACCCGGGAAGGGCCGAGCAGACAAAAGAACAGCGCAGGGTCCTGTGTCTTTCCTCCACGAAGACGGGGAGTGACATTCAAGAATACAAGAACAATGGTGTAAGACTAAGAAAAAATCTATAGATTGAAGCTTCAACGGTCTATTGTATTCTTAGATTCCTGCCTAGTATATATTAAGGATTCAGTAATGGTTAATCCTTAACAGCTCACTAATGATGCTAAAAACAAGATGGTTAAAGTAAATTACTGTGTGTTGATGTCTACTGCTCAGGGCAGAAGTTTCATCACTTCAAGAATAGTGACCTTTTACTACCATGCCCCCTTCTATCTTTTACTTATTAAGCTGAATCTTATGCTGTGACCATCCAAATAAAACATAAAACAAAATGACCCGTGGTGGTAGGTAGAGTCAAGGCAGATACTTGATGGCAGGACAAAGCATCTTCATTTAGGAAGATGGCAGTCTCCTTGCTTCCAGTCATGTTGCTCAAATCTGAGACATGGCTGGCGCCGAGGCTCACTAGACTAATCCTCCACCTGTGGCGCCCACACTCCAGATTCTAGTCCTGATTGGGATGCCAGTTCTGTCCTGGTTGCTCCTCTTCCAGTCCAGCTCTCTGCTGTGGCCTGAGAAGGCAGTGGAGGATGGCCCAAGTGCTTGGGCCCTGCACCTGCATGGGAGACCAGGAGGAAGCACCTGGCTTCTGGCTTCGGATAGGTGCAGTTCGCTGGCTGTAGTGGCCATTCGTGGGGGGTGAACCAACGGAAGGAAGACCTTTCTCTCTGTCTCTCTCACTGTCTTCTGTGTAATTCTTTCAAATAAATAAAGTTTAAATTAAAAAAAAAAAAACCTGGGACATTTATGTACTGACTGAACTACATTAGGAAAACTAAATAAAAGGAAGATGATGTATTAATTCAAAGTTATTATACCAATAATGTTCTATTCAGTGACAGCATAAAACATCCTTTAATGTTTATTATGAGTTGGGCCTTAGGATGGGCATTTCTACATATTTTCTCTGAACATCCTTATGAGGTATTACTCAAATGTTGAAAGCACAGACACATGTTCAAAAAGGATAAACTACTTTTATAAGGTAAAAGAGCTGATTGAGGGCAGAACTAGGATTCATACCAAGTCTTGAATCTAAACCCTTTCTCTAACCACCATACTTGGCTGTATATAAAAAAATTCTTAATCAGTTGAAGTCATGTAGAATTTTCTGGTAGCTGCTTTTTTCAATATGTAAATAGGAAATGCTGAAGGAAAAAGTACACAATTACTATGCATTATGATAAATTCTATATTGTGGGTATGAATGATCAACTGGAGGTACAGCAGGAAAAGAAACCTGCTGTGTGACCTTGGTGGTTCATCTGACTTCAATTCCAGGTCATATGGGGCATGACAATCTCTTCTTTAAGGGTCTTTATTGTTATGAAGAGTAGTCATAGAGATTATGAAAGCACTTTGTATCTTCCACAACACACATATCAGCCATTGTGATACAATTACTAAGTCCAATATAGAGCCTACATGAAAAATACCTTTAAGTATGACCTTACCCTCGCTTTTAAGTCACATGTTTATTACCCTGTTCATTGAGCAACATGAATCTTTGTTATGCCACAGATACAACTATGGATTTGCTCCTTTTCCCTTTGGTGCATTTTCTCCACTAAGAAATGGTCAACACTATTAAAGTCATGTCTGAGGTCCAGTTCAAACTCTACTACCCTCATTATATCATCATGACCATCACAGTCTTAAGTGAATATTTTTCATCTAAATTCCTGTGACTCTCTTACTTCATCCCACACTATTTGTAAGGTAACAACTATCTTACCCCTTTGCTAGATTCAATTTCCTGAAGAGTAGAGTTAACATGCAAT